GCGGACGGCGGGCTCGGTTGCCAACAACAATGGGCAGTTCAGAGGGGCGCAGGCGCGGGTTAACAGTGGTACCAACAGAATGTAGCGTGAACTGTACGTTTGGAAGGAACTGCCTCATATTAGCCATTTTAATGTAAGACCATAGTAGTATCTAGAAGTTGCATTTATTGTTATTTAAAGACATAACATGATGTGAAAGCACCTTATTTTTCTCTTCTCTGCTCCCTTATATGTTCAAGTCCAAGTAGAAGAAGCGTTTAAGACTGCTTGCTCGCAATGCAAACTGTAACCACCAAGTACTTAGGTAAATCATTTAATTGCAAGTAGTATGGAAACTATCCGTTATACAGAAGAAAAAATTCTTGGAATTTCATTATGTTACCATATAAGGAAGTTGTGCGGTACATGGTTCGCACTGGTCTGAAGTTTAACTTATGGGGGAACAAACATAATGACATTTCTGCCACCACAACTGTACAGCACAGTACAACAAAAAGTATTTTTAAATTGAAGATTAGTTGGTAATTGTTTACTTGAGTGACTCCTCGCCCTGGAGTCACTCAAGTATACCATCAGAAAGGTATTTTTCAGTAGAATCCTGAACAGTATTTATAAATTGGCGCTCGAGTCTGGTTTTCCTCAAAATTAAATAAATATGCGTCGCCGCTAACCTTCAGATGCACTTTGAAGACGGCAGAATAACTTACGTTTACGGCTAGTCCTGACGTTGATCGCTCCGGCTGGGGTTTTTAAATCATTGCTCCTGCATCAAAGAGCAGATGATTTACGGACTGCCCCAGTCGATTGGGAGGGTCCAGGGCCTGCCATTGAAAAAGATGTAGCTGATGATGGCCCAGCTACGGAAGCATCCCTTGCAGGTTGGAATGGCTTGAACGTAGTGTTCAGGGTAGCAGTCCTTGGAAGTGAGGCACCAGCCCCATCTGTCAAAAGGAATTGAAAGTTTTGATTGCAGAAACATTCTTATTTACTTCACAGGTAGTTATGATTGCATGATACTTACAAGCTCCACCGTCATCACTGTACATGCTATTGTCAGATGGTATAACGACAACCAAATCATCCTCACTGGCGCACCTGGGGGTTGATTGGTTCTTGTTTGCAGGCTTTTCAAAATCTGATAGCCAAGAGTCATCTGTACATTGAGGTGAGTTTAGGTGTCAGATAATAGCATGAATGTAGACAGTAATTAAAACAACTAACCTTTCGACTCTCCTTGATGTTTCACTGGTTTATTCACACTGACTATGGGATTCGTCTTCAGAGAGGCAGTTTCAGCCCCGTCATCCATTAGACACAAGTCTGCAAAAAATGTAGTCATGTTATAACATGCATAGCAAGTAACTGAACAAATTATACACCTTATTCACATGGATTTACCAGCGAGGGTCTTAGCAAGGCTACTGATGACCTTGGCTGTTGCTGCTTTATCAGTAGGATAGATATCTACAACAAACAAATGGTGTGTAAAAGACAATTGCTTTCTAAATAAGCGTCTCAAAATAATTCACATGTGAAAAAACTCACTGAACGTAAAAGAAATAGGCCCAGGGCTGGAGTCCTTGACAGCTTTCGGTTCATTGCTAGCCATAGACACAGTGCCAGCTGAAGGCACGCTGTTAGCATTAGGCTCACTCACAACCAAAGGCTCATTGTTAACCTTGATCTCGTTTGTAGCTGAAGCAGGCTCCTCATTAGCCACAGCAGAAGCACCATCGCCATTGATAGTATTGATATCCTCGGCTTAAGTCTCTTCAGTCTCTGGATTTTTCGGCAGCAAACCCAACATCTGGAGGCGCTTCATCCGCATTTCTTCTTGATCTAAAAGAGAGAATGATACTGTAAAATATGAGTCAGCAGTGTGCCATACATCAATAGAGTTCATTTCTGAGCCACTGTAAATTTAATGATGGATCTGGGCATATATTTTTCAGCAAAAGGAATGGCTTGACACATTACTCATTATCAGAATGACAGAAATTGAAGTCATACTTTGTGGTCTCGCTTTTGAAGTTAACATCCAGAATTTCCCTAAAAAATGGTAATGAAAAACAGGTTGAAACATGTCTGATTCATTCAACCAAAGACTACATAATGCCACTGTGTTTATGCCCAATTCTGAAGATTAAAAATCATACAGAAAGAGCTTTACAAAGGAAAAACTTGCACTTAGTAAAAACCCACAAAATATGTGGTCCTTAATGCACTGAAAGAAACAAGCTCCACTACATTACCAGTAACTTTTCCGAAAAAAATCCTGGGCGTCAAAGTGATGAAGAAAGTGTTTAACTGGTGTGTACATACAAGTGCTCAACACTATATTGCACAAGTTTAAGTGATGGACTTGATATTTAAATAGTTTGAAGTATTCAACAGTAAATTTGACTTTGGTTCAAAGTTTCAAGGCAAACCCTAATGGTGAACACTTTTTAAGTGTTCAACTTTACTGTTCAACACCTGATAGTATTAAAATATCAAGTCAATCACTTAGAGGTGTGCAACAAAGTGTTGTGCACTTGCATGTGCACGCAAGTTGAACACTTTAATCATCAGTGCAACTTTAAAAGTGAGATCATAAACATAGAAGCACTCTATTGACATGTTGAAATTTCAATTTTCGGCATTCAGATATTATCAATGTGCTCAGCTGTTACTTTAGATGACAATACACCCCAAGATTCTACTAGAAGACTAATTTAATCGAAATGTACTAAGAGTGTGCTTTTCAGGCAAAAAGAGATGTTTCAGATAAGGATTAAAAGAATGTTTGGGTCGATAATCACTGACCATAAACATTTGTACAATATTAGACAATAATGTTCTCACCGACTGGGGTGGTGAAAGTAAACTCATCAGCTGACATGCAAGGTACATACTTGAAGGTATTGGTTAGCGTGCAAGTTTATAAATCACTCTACTGAGTACGGCAATCAGGCATGCCTGAGCCTCAATTCCTCGTGACATGCATTAAATGTTGATGTAAGGTGAGAACCTGTGCCTCCTTCGCCCATATAATATCCTTCATGAATGGTTGGCTTTAGGTCTTCAAATCCTTCAGAATCAACATGGAACGAAGCAGCACAAGTTAAGATACATGCATCAAGCAAGGTCTAACCTTCGTTACTGTAGCAACTCATTTTACCTGAATAAAGCTTTTCAAAGAAAGAACTACTGCTGAAGTAGATACAACAGGGAGGACTTCTTTAATTCCATTTGATTCTGATGTTGCCTTGCTACTGCCTGCAATGAGCTCGCATTCAAACATCAAAAGTGAGCGGTACATGTGGTATTTTCACCTTGTATGCTTAAATTCAGACGAATGTGACCACTGGACTGAACATACTTGCTGCAGATGTGTGGGATGGGTCAGCTCAAGATAGATCAAATGCTGAGAAGTAATGGAAAATGCATTTATCAAATGCACATAAGGATGTGCCAGAGTTATTCTGTTGATATGTAATTTGAGGAGCAATTCTTGAGAAAGGGCGGCCGTTTCTCAAGAGCAATTACATCTTCTTAGAGTGCTTCTCAGAATCTTAAGTTCAGGGTGGTTTTACTCATATACACCTCATATACATACATATATACATACATATACACCAGTCCGAAAGTTGACCTGTAGGCATCCTCTACACAGTTTGTTCTTGTGCTCCTAGTAGTGGCAGGCTCTATCTGTATAGGGAGATTTAATCAAATACAATAATGCATCATGTGAGGGAATCGTCATGACCATGACAGATGTCAACAATGACAACTTATAACTGACACCACAATTTTTCATATGTGAGAACCGCTTAATTTCTCATTTACTTAAACTATGGCACGATTTCTGGCAACGAACTGCAAGTAGCATAACATCTAAAATTCTCGCAGCCACCGACTAGTGGTAGTACTCCCGACTGTTTAGTATTAGTGACTGAATTATTTTATTTTAAATCTTAGTGGACAAATTTACCAAATTTACTTGGATGAAAATTTACTGAACTGAAGGTGCTTTGTGTTGTGACTCCCAGCCAGTGGGATTTGTTTATATTCCGGTAAAGTGTGGTGTGTTTGTTGACTTATACGTGAGGTACAAAGTTGAGCAATAACTATGTTCACCACTGCTACATTTCCTTTTCAGGGAGACGATGTCTGACTGTCTTAATTTGTCTTCCTATGATGACCATGGAACAACTGCTGTCAATGTTTCAAATCAACATCTTTCCAAATTCGTGCAAACAGTTGACTACATTGAAAGTGGAGGTTATGAACTTAAACATGGCATTTACAAGGTAACAGCTTCACTAAGTAAATCCCCTGGTCATTTTCATTACTGTATATATATACTTCTGTTTTTTCATGGATGTATCTCTTTCTGCGCTGTTGATTCTGTTCCAGTTGAAAGTTGATACAGCTTTCAGAGTCGAGCGCACTAATTCCACCGAACTTCTAAAAATTCTAACGCCTCATTTGGAAAATAACTGTGTTCTGCAGGAACTTAGAAAGTTTCCCCTCTGCAATAACGTTTATGGTTACCAAGAGCACCGCCCAGCCACTAAAAAGTATTCAAAGGATTTCAAGCAAAAAATGAGCAAACTTTCTTTATTTTACGAACCTGATAATTGCATGTAAGTGTTAAATGCATTTGGATTAATTCTAAAAATGGCACTGTATTTGTTATCTTTGTGTGTTTATATCAGAGTTAAATATTAATTTCTTTTATTAGTCGTATTAGAAAAGAATGACTGAAATATTTTAAAATCGAGCTCAATAGTTTGCACTATCCATGAAGAGCTGGGCCCCCGGCATTTCTCCGCTCTGAGAAATTACCGGGTTCCAGTTTTTAAAAATCTAGTCGCGAGTGAGAGGGTAAAGTAGAAAAACTCCGCGACTGAGCCTAGCGCCTCCAGGGCGGGCCAGCCCGCTGTACACGCGTGCACGGCGGGGTGGCCTACGCTGCAGGCGCTTCCACCAGCGAGCTCCGGAGCAACTGCGGAACAACCAGGGCTAAAGAGCGGGGCAACGGGACAGTGTCGAGCGTCTGCAAGGAAAATCAGGGGGCAACCAGGGTCCAACCAGGGGGCAACAGGGGGGACCCAGAACAAAGCCTGGGAGGCGGGCGCGCGGCGTCGCCACACCCAACAAGGAGCGGTACAGGTGCGAGGCAAGGGGAACCGAGGGGACACTCTATCTGGCAGTCGCGGAGGGCATGGCAAAGGCTTCCTATAGTTACCCAATGGTTACCCTATGGTCACCCTATGGTTTCCCTATGGTCACCCCATGGTTACCCCATGGTTACCCCCTGATTACCCCATGGTTACCCTACGGTTAACCCATGGTTAGCCCATGGTTACCCCCTAGGTACCCCTTGGGTACCCGGTGGGTATCCTATGGGTACCACATACCTTCCCTAGGGGTCAGTTTGTCAGGGGACCGCGTTGTGATTATGATAACAGATAGTAATAATGGGGTATACCGTTAAATGCTGATGAGCAAGGATTATCCGTTATTCCCCTGAAAAATCATATCTGTTACACACAATAACTTTCTGAAGTATAAACAATGAAAGTCAAATTTTCATTTTTGGTAAATTTTAATAACTTTTTTTTTTTTTTTTTTTTTTTTTTTTTTTAACCGGAACCTCCCGACCTTCTCCCTGGGGATCATTAGGCCTTTTGGGGTGATAAAAACGTTAATTACTCTTTGAGCGTTACCGGTTAAAGTTTGTACCTGTAACAAATAACTTAGCCATTATAACATAAAATAGGTTAACTTATTCCTCTCTGCCGGTGGGTTAAAAGGCTCCGGTGGGCTGCCTGAGTTCTGCCGATTCTGCGCCAGAATCGCCTTCTGTCATTGGCTGCCGGGACGGACGGGCTGGCGCGGGCGGGCTCGTGCAGGCCTTGCTTTGCTAGACGCTCCGGAAGAGTTTTGGCCGAAGCCTACCGGACGGCGGCTCAATGATAGTTGCGATCTGTATAGTTTACATCAGGCTATTAGAATTATAGGTTGTGTTTTCTATTCAGTAGAACGTTTTCTGAAGTGTGGAAATGTCGTCGACTTTCAAGTGGGTAAGACATCAAAATGTTAAACAAAAATGTTAATGCGTTCCCTTTGGATACAGCAAGAGCAGTGTCCAGATGTCCTTTGAAAGGTGAATCACTTTTAGTACACAGTCTTTTGAATTTGTGTTGCGTTGCACTGTGTTCTTTTGAAAGAACAACTACTGCCCCGCACTTGATGAACCCAAAAGAAGCGCAGTAGCATTTTTGTTAAACTTTTGGATGTGTCAGGCACTTGTAAGTTTGCGACATTTCAACATTTCCAAACAAGTCCTACTGCATAGAGAACTTAGCAACTGATTCTCCTATCCAAATGTCTACCAAACAGACCGCAACTAACATTTAACACTCATGTTGAGAGCAAGAAGAGCGCAAGTAACAGAACATTAGGATGCAGGACGGAAAATTTCTAGACACCTCAGGCCTCGCAAACTAGTTTTAAACAATATTGTTACTCCGCAGCTACGTTCCATGACAACCCTTGTTGTATCATCAGTCTTTGAGAATACACCAGACTGTTCTCATCGACTACCTAGTATCTCTCCCCCTTAAGGAGAGGAAAAGAAGCGCTACCCAAACCCAAATCGAGAGGCCGTTGGGCCTGGTCTTCCCTGACCAGCCAACGCCGTTCCAGTCCGGTCCCCGGCTCCGTTCAGTTCCGTCCAAGTCCAAAAATAAGGCAAGCTTGAGTGTGTCAAATTCATTTATTTCAGGATGTCAAACCAGAGACAAGGGCGTAGCCAAGGTCTGGGACAAGGACCGAACGAGGGCGGGCAACGCCAAGGGCCAAGCGGGTCAGGAAGTCGAGGACCTTCGGGTCAAGGACTCCTGTCACGTTCAAGCCAAGGG